GCGACTATACCAAGTACGTGGGAGATGACGCCATCACCGCGCGCTTCTACAATGCTCTAACTAATAGGAATCCACTATTCGGAAAAACGGTGGCGTTCGAGACCGAGTTTTACCAGAAGGATGCCAACACTCTCTGGAACTTTGCTGATGGGTCGTCGAATCGAGACTACGGTTATGCTGGCTTGGACGACATTGTGGCTCGAGCGGATAGTAGTCGTAATGTGTATGATGATGGTGATGCTGCTCTCTTCTCGTCGAAAACTTCGGAAGGGGAAGCGAGATGGATCTCTGGAACCGGCTACCAATATTCATTACTGGACGACACTGTGGTGGTGAGCGTACCGGACTTCGTTCCCGGTGGTGGCACTTTTTCACTGCCGGTCGTTCTGTACGAAAACTTTTCCGAAGTTCAAGACTTTGCTCGGGAGAACAATGTGACTCGAATACTATTCGATGTCTCTACCAATGGTGGTGGCTTCGTCGTTTCAACCTTCGCATTGCAATGGTATATTGTACCAAATGCCGACGAGATTTGCTTTCCTATTGTTCGTCATATGACCGATGATTGGATCTCCTGGGTGTCATCTTTCGGACTCAACTATAATCAAACTATCGACGACTTCTTCAACGAGAACGCTCAACTGGTTGGAGATCCAGGCTTCATCCACGAAAGGTTCCAACAGCTCTACATCCTGCTCAATTATGTCGACCAGGCGCTCTCCGCTTCGGCTACCCTGCGTGATTCTTTCATCGAGCGAATTGAAGTCCCGCGTCTGAAGGAGATCGAAAAATCTATATTATCACAGGAGCGTGTCGCTCGAAGAGTGAGCCTCTTCAAGTCCTTTCTGAAAGAGAGACGCTTTTTGAATTCATCAACGATCGTTGGTTCGGAATTGGCTCCACAATATGGTTGGTATCTCTTTGATAACAGGGAGCTTATAAACCCTAAAACTCGCGCGCCTTTCGACCCTCCTTTGAGTCACTTTGCAAATTATCGGGTTCTTCCATGGGGCGAGCCTTCAAACTACTCCGCTACAAGTACTTTCGGTTTCTGCTATGACGTATTGGAGAATGCTCTACCCGAAATCGTCAAAGGGTCGAGTTATGACCCGAATTATTGGACGGAGGTCGCTTTTGTGACTGATGGTAACTGTGGCTCTGCTTGCTCGTTATTTACGCAGACTCTACAGCTAACAGGAGCTGCAACGGCTTTCACTTTCGGCGGTCTGGCTGATCAGGCGATGGATGTTGCCTCTTTTGGTGGTGGAAACGTTCTGGAATATGACGACATATCCCC